AAAAACGTCACACGCGATACTGAAAGCCACCGACGAACCCCGGATCCCCGGAGTTAGGGACCTACAGTAGACCGCTGAAGCCTTCAGAGTAAAATCCCGCGCAGAACGCCGACACCATCATCATCGTCAACCTCCGCATAAGTTTCATGTGTTGCCATAAGTTAGTCTCTCTGCATTTGTGCGCTGGGCTAATGCTAATGATGCTAATGCTAATAATGCTAATGCGAGGATAATAAAATGGCGGCTTCACAAAACTTTTTTTGAGTTTTACGGGGCGTGGTTTGCATTCCGCCCAGCCAATCAGGAATAGGAACCTTTTTCTCCCACGAAAGTCCCTGCTCTCTAGCATGGACGGAAAAGGGGGTAAAGAAGGTTCTGATTAACTCATTTTAGTTCCGGCTCTTTTAAAGAGCCGGAACTAAAATGAGTTAATCAGAACCTTCTTTACCCCCTTTTCCGTCCATGCTAGAGAGCAGGGACTTTCGTGGGAGAAAAAGGTTCCTATNGTGTAAGCCGCGGACTCTACAAATTAACGTGAACTATACCAATTAATAACTCCAGTATCCGGTTCAGAACTCAACATTGTCCTGGACGGGTAGTATGACTCTTTTGCCAACAAAATGATTATACAAAGGAATTGTACATGTTTTGGGATACGCTTCAGCAAATTGGCCCATTTACCCGCGAATATGAAGACACATGTACAATGGACCTACTTGATACCTTTCCAGACCCCAATGTGACACTCGGCGGTCAACTTCGTGTCTAAAACGAACGCGACTCCTTGGTCGACCTCTCTGCTGGAGAACGAGACCCAGATATTCGGGTCGCTAGTGACCGACGAAACATCCCGACTTAGACGGTCGGCTCACTTACGACCGAATATCTGGGGTCTCGTTCTGCAAGCAGAAGCAGTGACCAAAGGAGTCGGTTGTAGACACGAAGTGAACGCCGAGATGTCGACATTGGAGTCTCGGAAAGGTAGCCAAGTAGTTCACGCGATTTACATTGTGTCTTCATATCGGCGGTAAAATGCGGCAAATTATCTGAAGACGGTACAAAACATGTACAATTTTTGTATAATCTTTTTGTAGAGTCTAATACGTACGGTCGGAAGAATGTTGAGGTTCTGAACATACTGGAGTTTATAGATTGGTATAGTTATTAATTGTTGTAGAGTCGGCGTTACAGTTGTTTTGGACTCATTCGCAAACATTCGCATCTAACATACCGTTCCCGACAACAAATACCGCTCCGGTGTTAAATATATTAATATATAGCAAAAATAGGATCGACAGGTCCATGTCGGGTCCTACGCAGTCACAACCTCCACATCTGTCTTAGAGGTGACGGGGTCAGGACGTGTGTCATACTTACTAAATAGAAGCACGGATTGGTACCTGGTGGGACACCGCTATACGTTACCTCCCCGGGTAAATCCTCGCTTTACTACTCCTGCAAGCCGGACTGCTCCTTTGGTAGTTTTTCTCGGTGACGTCGCTTGATTACACTAGAGTTCCACATTCCGGGAAGAACAAATTAAAACTCTACTACACGATGACTAATCGGTTTAACACAGCCAGTCTTTATTGTTCCCAAAAAAAAAAAAAGGAAGCACGACGGGACTGTTCAAGTAACACACGGTTTGCGGGTCGACTACAGGAACAAGTGGTAAACCGGGGAAGGCACAACACCGCCTTTGGTCCGCGTAAATTACACTCGTCGTTCTCCCGTTGCATATTATATGCTACTTTTGTTCATTCTCCTATACACAACTTAAGGTGATACATTTTTATTTCCAAATAGGTATTGGACCATACGATTTACATAACGAATAAATATGAAACAATACAAAAGTTAAGTGACGACAGATATGAAGTAATCATAAATACGCGATATTACTAAAAACGACTGATTGCTCCAACATGGAACGTTACAAGACGGAAAAGTGTGAAGAATCCAATTACACGTCGTACGACCGCATTACCACAAAAACCGTCTTGGTCGGTTACGGACATGTACTTTGTACGGTCGGACCGGTGGAACAAATGACTGCACCCCGGTAGGTGAAAAGTCCAACGTACCGCTGGGTCTGTACGCCTACCAACGTCTTCGACAATGCCCGAATATCCTGAACATAAGCTTTGTAAAGGTAGATTGTATGGCAGGGCTGTTGCTTATGGCAGGCACAATTATATAATATATATCTTTTTATCCTAGCTGTCCAGGTACAGCCCAGGATGGTCAGTGTGGGGTGTCAGACAGAATCTCCACTGCCAAGTCCTGCACACAGTGATGATGAGTCATCTTCTGTAACCATGGACCACCCTGGGGATATGCCATGGAGCCCAGAGGAGGAAATGATGAGCGAGTTGTCTGACGAGGAACC